TAAGAAAAGGAGATTGGTCTGCACCATCACTAATTGGAAATGAAGAGTGTCCTTCATGACAAGGAACAGGAATGAAGGCTAGTACGACATAGCAAATGAGAGGAAAAGTTAGTTCATCCAAAAGTGAATTGATTGGCCAAGGTGCAGATATCCATGCACTGACTGTGGATGGCTGGACACCCCTGCATAGTGCATGTAAGTGGAACAATACAAAAGTAGCTTCGTTCTTGCTTCAGCATGGTGCAGATATCAATGCTCAGACGAATGGTTTGCTGACGCCATTGCATCTTGCTGCAGGAAACAAAAATAGTAAAGAAACCCTGCAGCTTTTGCTGATGAATCGCTACGTGAAACCAAACTTGAAAAATAACTTGGATGAAACTGCCTTTGATATTGCTAGGAGGACTGATGTCTACTATTACCTTTTTGAAATAGTAGAGGACTGCATAAATTCTGCACCAGACTCCTAAACAACTTTGTATGTGAATTTCTTTTCTTTCTCCTCTGTACAACTGTTGCTGTATTCAAAAGTGGTGTTTTCTCCCTGACAGCAAAGATTTAAATGGAAATACTTTGTGGGGCCTCTTACAACCTAATATCTTGTTGTTTTTGCAAACATCCATTACAACTTATTGGAGTTATTTATTTTGTTTTGTTTTTTCCCCACTTGCTTCCAAATGTGATCACTCCATTCAAAAAGTTTTGAGAGTATTCAGGACACTGCAGTGAATGTAATATTTACATGGGTCTCTACATATTAAGTGGAGATTGAGAGACCCTTATTTAATTACAGTCCAAAACACTAAAATCAAGGAGAAAACTGGAATATATGGCAGCAAAGGGTGGGGCACGGTCAGGAATTGTCAGTGTTTATTAGAATCTTTACTGCAAGAGACCTATTTAAAGTGCGTGAAAATGTGGACTGAATGCAACTCATACAGATGTTACTCCAAACATATAACAATCCTGGAAAGCTTATTAAAACAATATAAAATACTTAATGTTGTGTTGTGGATCTTTGAAAGGCCTAGTCAATGCTGTTGCCTCTACATAGACTGGGAGACATTATGTATATGGTGCTAGAGCAGTTTGAATTACATTTTTTATTGGCATGTTCATATGGGGATAAGTGTCTTTAAGGGTCTTGTTTAAACTCCTCTATCAAAATGGAATACTGTATAAATGCTCTTCCAACTACAGACAAATCTAAAAGTTAAATTGCATGAAAATAAACAGATGAAACACCGTTGTGTCTGAGTTGGTGACATTATACAGTGCAGTAAGGACCTAATATTGTTTCTGATTGACGCCGAAGCCTTGGAGAGGTCTTTCCAACCCCCAAATCGCAACAACAGTTTGTAGTCTCAACTTTTTTTATTTTGTGTGCGTTCTCAAAAATGTTCTCTAACCTGTGAACTGTTCCTTCCAGTTCAGCTTCTTCTTTGATTCTTTTTAATTAATGAACACCTAGTATTATCCCCAAGCATTAAATGTCATCAGTCAAGCTTCCCAAGTTGTCAGTGGCTTAAAATTGCAAAAGTACACCTGGAGTTCACTACTTGTTTTATTTTCTGTTTTTTTTGAATCCGAGGACACACTTGAATTCGAAGCTTTTCTTTCTAACCATGAAGGCTAGAGAAGCGGACACTGAGATTCTCATGTATCCACATCATTCTAGAACCTGGATTTTCAAGGAATATGCAAAATGTCATGCAACTCATGACCACATCATTAACATTAGTCTTACTATATAGTTCTTATAGTTCTCCTTTTGTCAGTGTTGTCTTCTGCAAGTTGTTGTAGAGCAGGGATGTTCAACCTTTTTGAATGTGGGACCGGATCACGAACTTTTTATCGCCCAGTGGGCTGGTGAGCCATATTCAAAGACCTCACAGGAAGTGGTATCATATCAGGAAGTGATGTCACGTAACCTTTGACAGCAATGAAGTTACAGGAAGTGACAGTGAAATGGGTCTGGAAATGTGCCTAGGGAAGTTGTGGTTTTCAGAAAGTATGTATGTTTGGTATGGCTTAGGAATAGGACATCATTTTTCTGTACAGGGAGTTCGACTAAATTAGGACTACCCAACTGACTACCTGCAGGCCACATGTGGCCCACAAAGGGCCAGGATGTCGCCCAGAGTCTACATGGGGTCTGCAAGCAGTTAAGTATATAGGGCATGGGCCTGGGCAGCCTCCTCTCCCGTTGCTGTGTAAGGGGGAAAGGCCAGTGGGGGGGAGTAGTCCATGTCCTGCATATGTAGCCTGCATGGCTGAGGATGGGGTCTGCATGCTGCTGGAGCAGCCTGTGCAGTGAGTGGGTCCTAGGGGCCCACCCCCACAGCGTACAGCCTGTGCAACACATGCTGGTGTCATTTGGGGCCCACAGCCTCACCAGATCTGAACAACCCTGGACTAGCTTATCCTTGAGGTTCTTTACTATCTTGATCATGGTCATTGTGGTTTATTAAATAGAAATTGTAGGTATATACTGCAGAGACATGGAAGAGATCTCAAGGTCTAATAAAAGATACCGTCTCTACTACAAGTCCTGATTGCCTTTTTAATAAAAGTGAGTTATTATTTGGCCCTATTACTGTAAGGAATAGAACCATACTTACAAGGGAAAGTTTTCAAAGTAAAATATTGATTTTTAATCCTCCCAGGTTTGTTTGGAAATTCTATTTCATAGGATGTCTGTAGAAGGTGAATGCAACCAAAAATGCATCTCGCACAAGGCAGAGATATAAACATCAGTCATATTTATTATGTTTGCAAATTCTAAAGGCTACATTTGTTCCAGAACAAGACATTAAATTAATTACAGGATCTACACTAGACTTTGAAAATGTGTTAGTATTTATATTAAAGCTCAGATTAAAAATGAAGATGGACATGCCCCTATATTTTCAAAATCACCATTCCAGTTATCAATACATAATGCAAGAGCTAGTTGTTTGGATGTAAAATGTGCACCTGTCACACAAATTATAATCACAGCTGCTTCAGTTTTCATAACCTGGACCTAACAAAGGCTGCTTCTGTAGTCACTGGCAAAACATCTATTAATGTTGTGAGCAGGATCAGATCATCAAACTTTGCAATTTAACTCCATCTAGTGTCATTCTGTATGTACTACAATAAGTAACAAGGTTGATTCCCCCCCCCCCCCCCCCCCTCCAGGAAGAGCAAAATATCAGCTCTCTGCTTGTCTTTTTATTGATGGAATTAATTCTAAGATGTTCAATCACACGATTTAAAATATAAATGCTTTTAATAATTAGGAGATTATGAGGATGTAGGATATTAATCAGACTAATCTCATACTTTATACAGTGGGGTATCCTACTCACCTTGTTCCCTAAGTTGGATCCTAGTTGCAGGGCTGCTTGTAGGCCAGGGCACAAGGAAGTTGTGGCAGCAGTTGCAGCTCTGGCTGCACTGCATACTACAGCTGTATATGATGTAGTTTGTTTCCTTTAAAAATCTTTGTACTGGCAGTGCTTTGGCATACACAAGGCACACGAAAAACTAAGGACCTAGACAATCTTCAAGTTCAGTAGGGAGCAAACTATGTGAGTACCATGAATGTACCAAGTTCACTCAGCAAAAACATGCAGAAAACTTCTCAGCAGTTGCTCCTCAGCTCTGGAACTCTCCCACTTGGCTGTGTCCACACATGTGGACATTTGATTCCCCAGGGACAACTAGCAGGTGCCGCTGCTGCTTCTCCCTGGGGATCTCTCGAGCCATGTGCCTGTGGCTCCAGCGAGCCAGGCTCTGGCTTTGGGAGGTACATACACTCTGCCTTTTTTTCTCCACAGGTTTTTTTGGCCCCTATATCCAGGGGTAAAAAAAAAAACCCTCCGCGCTGCTCCCTTGCAGCATGGAAAACAACAGAGCATGCAGTATGTATACATGCAGCATACGTACCGCACAGCCATGCTTACCTGGATGCAGCTCTTGAGGCCTACCAGAGCGTGACTGTCACCTGAAAAGGCTGTAACACTTTCCTATGTAGGTAAGCACTTAGCAGGCAAAGCTTGGTGGGGGTATTGAATACAGGAAGGTGGGGAGCCAGTGCTATATTCTATTTTAACAGTGCTTGATTTTTAGAAGTTATTTTGTCCCCTTGTTTTAGGAGGCTTTTTTTTTACTATACGCTGCCTTGAGGCTCTGGCAGGCCTCCAGCAGAATGAGGTGCCACAGCTGAGGAGCAACTGCAGAGAACAGCCTTCCACATGTCTTGTTGGGAGGAGAGGCCTATACATCAAATCAATACGTGAATGAGTGAAAGAGTAACTATCCTTGGGCCTGGCTAGTATGTCCTGGACCTCTGGACTATAACTACACCTCTGTTCCGCTCTGGGTATTCCCTGCGTTTCTGCGCTTTGCTGGTCATCCCCCTCCCGCCTCTTCTGCTGCATATGCCAGGTTGTTCTTCAGCCTCCCTTAGAGGCACTGGGTGTCACTGGGGACTTTGCCTGGGAGGTGCCAGTACCCATGGTGGGACCAAAGCCAGAGGTCAACCCCGACACCATGAATGCTGCGTGCCCCTGGAGGCAGGCTAGGCATGGTGAGCTCCCCCAGGTAGCGGCGGTGCTGTTGGCAGCAGGAGCATGGCGGTAACAAGTGAGCTCTTGCAGGCAGCCATGGCATGGTCAACAATGGAGGGCGTGGTGAGCACCAACTAGTGGTTGGTGACTAGCTGCAGAGAGCACCAGCAGCATCAGCCAGCCGTGATCTCGGACCACCTGCAGACGCTGATGGTGGTGTTGGCAGCAAGGGGTGGGAAGGGTGGTGAGCAACGACCACCTCTGGAGGCACTGCTGGTGGTGCCTTTTCCCAGGGGTAGACCCGCATGCCAGTGGTTGCTGGGGACTTCCCTAGGGACCAAAACCAGTGGTCAACCTTGACACAACACAGCTCAAACACCAAGGGAACGTGCCCGTCACCCTCCAGCCCTTACAAAATGTTGTCAGTCCATGTGACTGCTCGGGGTCAGGCCGCTGCCGCATTTGGGCTCAAGACGGACTGTGATCCCGTGGCCACATTGATATGGTAGCTGCCCGCCACCTCCTAACCATGTACTGACATGTGATGGAAGCAGAGGCTGGGCGCAGGTCGTGTCCCGCGGGGGGGGCGGGGTTGGCAAGTGGGGGCTGCTCCTGCCTCGGCCCCGGGAGGTCCCCGCCCGGCTACTCCGCGATCGCAGCTGGTTTCAC